AGAACAGTATCATCTAACCAAGTCTCAGTGATTACTACTACCGCAGGTTTTTCTAGCTCTACTAAACTCGCTAAAATTTCAAATTTTTTGACCGTAATGGGATGTGGTGTAGAAATCGCATTTTTGCTATTGTCAAACGATGCCATTAATCTATTAACATTCATCAACAGAATCGTTTCGCTATGCAACTGATTTCTAATATAGAACGTTTTAACCATTATCAATTATTTCATACACTACAGTCTTAGAACGCAACATATTAGGTCGGGAAAGGAAGGAATAAAATAAATTTGAAGTCATATGATCGCATGTCTCTCTACACATATCTACGTAATAGTCTATGGACAAAAAAGAAGCAGAACCGTCAAAATATCTATATCATCTCAACTGCAAGAAGAACAGATCAAAAATGCAAAAATGAAATATACGGTCAATATGACCCAGACAGCCAAGAAGGTTCAGAATTAGTACGTTTGAAAGTTTTCAAGACAGAATAAATTCAATTATCCATATAGATATCTTTGAATATCATCATATGAACTAATAAATACGATGCCTTGATCTTCTGTTTTATAACAAACTCTTCCTCCTCTAGTAAATACATATTTTCGATCTTCATCTTCTAGACTATCACGCATTTGGTCTAATAACCATTTATCATACCTTGTTACATCTTCAAAGATCGAAATACCAGTTGCTTGTCTGAATTCTTTTCGTTTTAATAGTAAGGATTTTAGTTTAAATCGAGAAAGAAATGCAGCTATAACTGGTTGTGGAGATTGTTGTTCTTTTTTTTTCTGTCCTAGAGGATGACAATATTCTATATCTTCATCTTTCAATTGAATTCCAATCTTAGCAGCTCCTTCAGTGATTGATTTTACAATATCAGCTTGTTCTTTCATTCCAATGAAACGAAGATTCTTTTGTCTTGAAATTCTTTCACGAGAATTTGCATTAAACTGAATGTTTTCAAGTTGTTGTTCAATTGAATTAGTTTTTTGTTCTAAAGCAATTAAACGTTGTTCAATTCGTTTAATAACAACATCTTGCAATATATTCACAATATCTTCTGGTTTAGAATTCTCTCGTAAAGACTGAATTTGCTCTTTCACATCTTGATCATTTGAGATTATCTCGAAGATGTCATTTCTTATTGAATCTCTGTTAATTGAAGTTCTGTTAATTGTTGGAGTTGTTGGTGCTACTACTTGAGTAAATTGCATTTTATTTGTTTTCCGAGATGTATAATATTCATTCACAGGTATTAATGAAGCGTATTTAGACATAACGTAGATATGTAGTAGAAAGTGTATACTATAGAACTGACATATACGTGTTTACGCGATGAAGAGAAAAGGATGATGAAGAGAAAAGGATGATAAAGAGAAAAGGAATGCCATCGCATTCATCATGCGATAATTGCAGATCGCGCAACATCAGCATGGGCATTGTAATAGTTGAGGCCATAGATAATATTTTCAATACCTCATCAAATAATAAGAAGCGTTCAATATTATACAGAGAATAATGAAAGAAAAAAAGTTCACTAGTTTCAGCAGCCCCACATGAACAGAAAGGATCAGATGTTAATTTTCGTTTATACAAATTGTCCTTTACTGACTAAAGCCACCTCGAAATCTACAATAAGGTATTTTATTCATACGATGTTCTGCAACAGCATATTTAACTATCACATGTTTTTTTATTTTCTCTTTGAATATCGGTAATTTCAACGTAAGTAACACATCAGTAGGTAGACTAGACCATTCGCTTAAAGCGTAAGAATAAACATTTTGAATCCACTCTGAATCATTTAGGCGAGAATCTTTCAAAGAGAAAAAGTCCTGATCAATATTATGAATACCAACACAAAGTCCATTCCAGTTACAGTTTGAAAGTCATGAGCGACTCGTGGTGGGAGTAGAACTTTTGAACGAGAAAACTAGCGGATAATGTGTGACGAATTGGTCACTAGCGAGCTAACATGTGAAACTAACGGTATAGACCAGAATTATTGATACAGGAGTTTCTAATGGTAGTATTACAAGTAAATGCATGAATGAATGAGGAGTACCTGTTCATTCTTTTAATTCTATGGGGTTGTTGTAAGAGCGGTATCGATTCCTGTAAACAAAGATTGGTCAATCTCTTTCAAATATGAATATATTTTAAAAATAAGAAAAAAAGATACAATGAACAGACGATACAAGAAAATGACGATAGTGCTAACAGACGCACGCGATACGATAAAAAGACTTTAATGAAACTGTACTGTATCGAAAGAAATCTTATGCATCTCTAAAAAGAAGAAATTGGCTTGGTCGAGCGTGACGGAATTTCACTTTTTCGACTTCTTTGTTTTGTATCTTCGAAACCATGTAAGAGATTGCGATAAAATTTTTATCGAATGTGTATAAATTCAGGTGCTTCAAATTCTGAAAGTGCAAGTTTGATCGGCGCAACAGATCAGCAGTTATAGCAAAAATAGAGGCCGTAACGGAATTTCGAAAAATGGAAAGTTTTTTTTGGCTATTCTTGGAAGTTCGAAATCCAGCTTTTATCTTTGACGTGTAAAATAATTCTCGTTTGGGGGGGCCCGTTGCTTTGGACCAAAACTGTACTTTTTGCAACGGTCACGGCGAACCCAAAATAAAATAAAATCGAATGAATTTATAATCAAATGAAAGTGACTTCGATGCTTGTTCAAATGACGCAAGAACGAACTTCACGGCTCTTTTCGTTTTCTCTGGCCGGACTCCGTATTCGGACCTACTTTTGAAAAACTGCCAGCTTGGCGCTTCGCTCCCTGAAAAACTAAGCGTCAGTTTTTTGATTTACTTATTTCTTAAATAGTCCTCACCCGATACTACTAAAGCCACCAGGTTCCACTTTTGGCCGGAGCTTTATGTGTCCAAGTGATGCCCTTTAAATTGCAAAAATATAGCAAAGAAAAGGTGCACCTTATCTTAACTTTTTTCTACTTTTATTCATTTAGAAATTGTAAACAATATCGAACTATATGTAACTTTCCATACTGAATTCGAATCTGATGTTAGTTTAATTATATTCTGCAATAATATAGTCAAATATTCAGCACTTTGTCTGAAAAACCTCTGGTACTTTCGTATATTGAATATTAATAGTTTCATGAATTTTTTCTTCTGCCTGTTATGATTGGTTTTAGCACACCACCATTAGCATACACCATTAGTTTTAGTATTTATTTGTTAAATTTCTCTCTTTCACATTCCTTTCTTTCTCTTCTCCTTAGACTTTAAATTCAATATTGAAAATAGTTGATATATCATCCGTAAAAGATAGGTATGTTTCTGAACATACTTTTGGTATAAAACTTACTATTTTTCATTAAATCTTGTAGAAGACAATCGGATGTTGTGAAAAATAAATGTGATTCATTGATGAAAGAAGTCAAATTATTGTCCACATCAATCAATAATTTAGGGTCATCATCTGATACCACAATTGTCGAGGATCTTAATTATGAAGATATGCAAGTGTTCATTTTAGGCTTAAAACAATTAGTTTCTGAAAGTGATCATTCGGAAAAGATCCGTTTGTTAACAATATGTCCAGAATGGTGGAACAGAAGAGACGTTGTTTATCATTTTGACGTCACCGAATGGGAAGCTCGAACAGCCATGAAGTTACGTGAAACAAGTGGAGTTTTGTCATTTTGTGAGAACAAACAGGATAGAGGACAAATAACAGCATCAACAATCGAAAAGGTTCTCGAGCATTATCAGGATGATTCAATCAGTCGACAGTCGTCGAACGTAAAGGATGTGATCCAGTTGAAGCTAGCAGACGGAACAAAAATTCCTAAACCTTGTCGAATCATGTTAGTTTCAGTAACCGAAGCTTTCGAAAATTTCAAAGTAAGGGAAAAAGTTTTCTTAGAACTGTTCGTTAGGGTGGAAGATACCAGTAGTTTATCAGAAAAAGAAGTTTTGATGGCAATGCTCAAAATGATAAAGAAACACTTCCATCCATTCTTTTCATTTAATAATTTTTACAGGACAAGTACGAAAATGAATCAAATATAAAAATTGGTCACACAAACGTTTTTAGCCTTAGACCAAAATGGGTCAAGCTATCGATCAAACACAATGTTTGCGTATGCTTTTACCATGAGAACTTCAGATTACTTCTTGTGATATGTATAATAAGATTGTTGAAGGAAGTTTACTCCAAAAGTTGGTTGTATTGTTTTAGACATTTTCAAGTATTGTACAACAATCAGTAACATCTACCGATTTTGTGAAGAAGATTGTGTGCTCTGATACAAACTTAGTGTGTATGAATGGCACTTGTCTAACATGTAAAAATAAATCTCCATCAACTGAATTGCCAAACTTGTATCCAATGAATTTAAATGAAGACGTTAGCTGGATGACATGGGCAAAAGTTGATAATAAAATAGATATCCAAAAAATCACTGGTTCAGTAGAAAATTTGTTAAAAGCTATGGATGAGCAGTGGAATAAATATCTTCTTCATGCTTTTGTAACATCTGAACAATTTGGTTTCATTAAAACACTAAAAGAATCAATAGGACTCTATCAGGCTATCATTCAAATGGATTTCACTGAAAACTTTAGTCTCGATTTCCAAAATGAAATCTAATCCAAACACTGGTCCAAGAGTCAAGCATCGTTATTTACAATACATATTAAAACAAAAGATCAAGTGAGCAGACTTTTGAACTAAGTTTAGCGTCAGTCTGTGATGCTTACGAGGGAACATATGCAACTGTCCTAGGCATGCACCAAGTAATTGACTAAGGATGTTATGTTTTTTCCAAAACCTGGCGTTTCGTAAATTGCTTCGTTAAAAATTTTCTGACTAGGTAAGAATGTAGAGCAAACATTTCTCTACAAAATGAGAGATTGGTCAACTCTGTATGATTTGTTTTGAGATTTCGGCAGCGATATCCCATAAGGGACTAACCGAGTACTCGATACTCGTTTACTACTCGATTATGTGTTCTTGAGGTATCGCTACCAAAATCTTGAAACAAATCATACAGAGTTGATCAACCTCTCATTTTGTAGAGAAATGTTTGCTCTACATTCTTACCGAGTCAGAAAATTTTTAACGAAGCAATTTACGAAACGCCAGGTTTTTGAAAAAATATAAAATCCTTAGTCAATTACTCGGTGCATGCCTGAACTGTCCGATCGTTTCTTTAATGAGACCTAGTGTACTATAGGTAATCGACCATGCTGATTTCGAATATCACCATGAAATGGGCTTACAGACTTTTCAAGGGTCGGTTTTCTGGAAAACCAGTTTTTCAGAAACTCTAAAAAATAACCAAAACCTTTTTTAATAAGACATAATTGTAGCCCGCAAATTTCTGATTAAAACGAGACCTCTTCCAGCTCTACATGACCTTTCTTTGCAAAGTTATAGAATTTACAAGAAAAGCCCTACATGTTCATTGTTACACAGTGGGCAATTCTGACTAGGCACGTGGACATATGCTGTAGAAGTGATACGAAACTCTGTAAACACGTTTTTTATAGGTTTTCGAATATGCTCTTTCCAATGATGAGATTTTCGAAATCCAAAACTAATTGTTTCTGGGTTTTTGGAAGACCGGATCTCTAGAAAACCCATAAAAAATTATTTTTGGATGTCGAAAATCTCACCATTGGACAGAATAAATTCGAAAACCTATAAAACATGTGTTTATAGACTTTCGTCCCGCTGCTAAAACGAATATCCAAATACCCACGTAAAATTTGCTACGGTCATGCTTCTACGCTACGATTCAGTTTAATCGAAAACTTTTCTGTAGAAAAATGTTTCAAATCATACATGATTCGATGCAGTTTTTGATGCTGATTCCAAATATCACATTAATTTTAAATAAAAGCTTTGCTGAGCCGGGAAAAATAGAAAATACCTGGAAGACCATAGGTATTTTGAAAAACCTGCTGTACGGTCCAAGTACATTCATGCATCTTTATGCTTGTTTTACAAACGCAACACCTGTGGCAGAATATACTCTGAAAGTTTCATCGCCGTACGAGGGGTGCGCTTTGGTGCGTGCCCACTTTACTGAATAGACGTTTTGAAAAGACAGCCACAATAGCAAAAAAACCATTTTCTGCGGTCAGGTAAGACATAAATGAAAAACTTTTTTTATGAATGGATAGCTCAAAGATTTAGCTTTCAGAATATATGTGTCTCAATTTTTTGCAACACAGCCGCTTAAAACTGAAAAGTGCTTTTCCTAAAACGATCGCAAAAGTGCCTTAAAATTGAAACTTTATTTTCTTCGCCATCATAAGCATTTGGATCAAAATTTTTTCACCACTAAATTGGCCATTGAATACTGTCTATGTGACACTGTCTGAATTTCCAAAAATCTCACTTTCGTTTTTTCGCCTAATTTCCATGTGGTTGCCCACTGTGTGTCAGCTCAAAGCTACAGAAATAAAGAAAAAATTAATTCAGGGCTTTTCTTGTAAATTCTATAACTTTACAAAGAAAGGTCATGTCGAGCTGGGAGAGGTCTCGTTTTAATCAGAAATTTGCGGGCTACAATTATGTCTTATTAAAAAAGGTTTTGGTTATTTTTTAGAGTTTCTGAAAAACTGGTTTTCCAGAAAACAGACCCTTGGAAAGCCTATAAACCCATCGTTTCTATCTTTTCTTTGTATTAAGAGGTCTACTAAATCATTTTTTTGAATTTGTAACCGATAAGCAACTTTTTCTAGTTCTTGTTTAACCATTTCATAATGTTTATCATTGAGTTCTGAAAGCTGTCGATTATTGTCTATTAAATCAAACAGTAAATCTATATTGTAATATTTCAAGTCGATTCTGTTATCCACGAAAAAGCCCTTTATCTCACATATCAATGGATCACAAACATTGTTCAATAAACGAATGAAACTGATACTGTTTAGTTCACGATTTAAACGTTTCACTTGATCATTTAATTGATTGATCTCTTTTCTCTGATCGTATAATTCTGTGATCAACCGTTCGAATAGCCTTTTTATTTTAACAAACGTAAGTTGAAATGCGTAATGTTTCTCTTGTGCCGTTAGATTCAATGGCAAAAATAGTAAATCGTTTAGACCTTCGTATAAGTTTTCAAATTCTTCCAAATCTGTGGTGGTAATTGAATTAATACCCATTAATTTGTCCATGATATATGCTTTCATTTCAGCATATTTACCTGGTGTTGGATTATTTTCAATGAGTTCACTAAGTTGTTGCAAACACAAATTGACATCCATTTGTCTAACAATAAAATTTGAAATGAAAAGAATTAATAAATTAATCTATAAGCAAACCAAAAACAGAATCATTGTTGAGCAGAAAATGCACATATAAATATTATATGCGAATGCGTGCACTACTTAAGGAGAAGTGCGCACATGATGATTTCAAAGCACTTTAATCAATCGAGCAAGATAATGGAAAATCTAATATCAAGTAACTTTAAAAGGTCAAGGAAGTGAGTCGTTTAAGTTTGTACAGAAAGGTGGTGAAACATCGCAAAAGATTACTGAGGTCCAAAACTATGATGCTGCACAATGTATAAATACAATAAATAAATAAACAGTACAAACACGTTTGTTTTCAATGCTAATATCTATCCTTTTGTTCAATGCTAATATCTTGCCTTTCATGAGAAAAGTTGATAATAGAGCTTCTGAAAAACGTGATCGCTGAAAAACCAAGTCCTTAGTTTTCAGTGAGAAAGTTTTGCAAGCTATATAGCCTGATAGAGCGAAAAATTCTGTGCAAAATGGACTTTTTCGGGCCTTCCATAGTGCTTTTCAACGCAACTGCAGCCGATTTAGAACCAGCCACAAGGGGCGTGAAAGTTAGCAAAATATTCCGGTGTAAAAGCACTATAGAATACCGGGAGAAGTCCTGTTTTGCTCAGAATTTTTCGCTCTGATAGCCTATATAGCTCGCAAAACTTTCTCACTGAAAACTAAGGACTTGGTTTTTCAGCAGTCAGGTTTTCCAGAAGCTCTATTATCAACTTTTCTCATGAAAGGCCGATATACGCGTCATTTGATAGAAAAATCCTTGGTCTATTCAAAACATTATTCAGATAGGTTCCAGCTTTTTCTAAAAGGTCAAAAACAAGGAAGTTCTTGTGATTATGACACATTGTACTGCTTAGATAACACCCAAAAGCTTCTTTTCCATATCTTTAATGACTGGCCCCACCTGTCTGGATATTGTGACCAGCTCACTTTGTAGAGAATTTCAGGGGCGATCCAGTGGTATGTGTTCGAACAGTACATAATTTTCATTATGGCAGAAAAACGACTAAAGGAGTGTTGAAAGCACTAAGATAGGTCAAAATCCATATATCGGTCAAGTATTTCAACTATTGACCCATGTGGGAATATTTCTGAAAGACTTATTTATGGCCCATCTCGAAGCTCGTGAAATTCTCTATTGAATGGCGTATCTATCGTAGTGATTAGTTGACAAACCTTGATCATAGGATCCGCGCCGTTGAACAAGTCATTGACGAGACACGGATTTGCAGAAAATATTTCTAATGTTAAGGTACGCTAGGACGCTTTTTTCACAATCATATAAATATGAACTTATAGCGCCAGAAATTCTCTATCGAATGGTATATGTATCGTCGTGGCTAGTGGAGAAATGTGGACCACAGGATTGTCACCCTTGAAGCAATCACCCACTTACCAAGTCTTTGCATAAAGTATTTTTAATGTCACCGGGTCCTAGGACATTTTTTTCACTATCATATATATATGAACTTGTAGCGCGAGAAACTCTCTATTGAATGGTGTATGTATCGTCGTGGCTAGTGAACAAGTGTGGAGCACACAATCGTCACCGTTGAACAAAGAAGAGCAGAACTTTGATTACAGTAAATTCGACATAATTTTTTCTGAGAGCAACTCTAAGGTCTGCCGAGTGCCTAGAAATGTTCTCCTGTTCATTCTGCATCTAACCATATATGTATCGATGCAATTGAGGCAGGGGCCGATTCCATCAAATAATCGATCCCGTCCTTTTTGACTCCGTTTTGGATTAGTTGATATCATCAACTATGAAAGTCATACCATGACAGGGCTGGGCAACTCCAACTCCGGAGTGGAGGATTTTTTTGTTGGAATTGGAGTTGGAGTCGGAGTTGATTTTGGCGGAGTTGGAGTTGGAGTTGAGATTTTAGTAGGTTGGGTTTTTGAATATTTATTCTCAACTCCGTTTTGCATTTTTGGAAATATTGAATAGTTATAAACTGGTCTTCTAAACGATTGAGTGCCTGTATTTACGAGAAAATTCGGAAGTTCTTTGCGCTTTCTTGCCGGAAAAAGCTCAAAAGCGTCCAGAATCCTGCTAAAAATCGAAAAATCTTCCGTACAAAAGTGAAGCAACCGGCTTGTCCAAGCGTGACGCTGTAACATTTTTGACACAGTAAATTGAGCTTTTCTCAAAAAGTGTAACAGCTAGAAACTTGGTTCTTGCACCATTCGACGAAGCTCGCCATACTCTACTTTTGATATAAAAATGAAGATATGTGGTTAAAGACTCGAATTTTTAGAACCGTTTTTCGGCGCGTGACGCTGTGACGATTAAAGGCCTTAAATTCGGAGTGCTTCTCATTAAAACCTTATTTGCTGCGAATTTAGAAGAGCTAATAAAAGCTCCTCGAGCAAAATTTGTAGAGGAGTATACGAGCTACTGATTGCTAAAAAAGAATCTTTCGAAAGAGCTTTCCGTTCCTCAATAATTGTGTTTTATCGTCGTGACGCTGTGACAATTGTTTTTCCCAACAAAGTTTGGAGCACCAAACATTGCTCAAAGGATTTCATTTTCACATCGAACTTAGTTTTAGGCATCTGATATAGACTAAGGTGAAAATAAAGCCGAAAAAATGTTTTCACTTTCT